TTACTCAGCTCGCAGTTATTTCATCCGCAGTCCCAGATCGATGCCCCCTGACCGAGGATGTGTGCAACTATGCGCCTTTACCCACAGACCGCATTGCTTGGCGTATCTTGGCTCAATCTGCCGATAATGAGTCATGTACTGACTCGCCAGCCCAAGGATTAGATTGATTGCATGAACACTGGTGTTCTATTCTCCTTCCGGTTCCACGCCAGTCGACCATGATCAACCTTGACCGCTAGATAGAGTAACCCTGCTGTATTTCCAGTCCGAGGCACCAGCTAGCTCGTACGTCACAGCATGGAGGACTAGAGAGCCTATCTGCCCTCGCTCCCACTTTCAGTGTACTCTCTCTGATGAGTGTATAGCTTGCGCTTTTGAGAGAGGCGAAACTGGCCTATGTAGCATCGATGGGCTCATCGACCAGCTCTGGAGGGGGCGCAGGAACCCTGACTCCATGCTATGTAATTATTGCTTTATTGTACTTTCAAGTTTTCTTTTTGAATGTAATAAAAAGCAACTTCAATCTTGTATTCAGAGTAGGGAACTCTGTGTTGAAATTAATGAAATTGAAGTTTTGGTACTGAAACTTTCCCGTTGGTCCAAAAATGGTTCTAAGTTGTTAAAAAGGTAATTTGAACAAAATCAAATTTTCTTAAAACTTTCAAAACCATTTTCGATATGATCAGAACTGAACACGCCTGAGATCTGTCACTTGAGCTGCACAACCCCGAATTCCAGCCACTGGAAAAGTTGCCCCTGACTGAAGTAGTACTGACGGAGACAACAACCGAGCTCTTGAACGCAGAATAGACAAAGATGACCAAACATGATCACATGGACAAAGCTTATCAGGGAAGTGTTTAGGCTGGACTTCCAGAGTAAGTTGCCTAGATATCCCAAAGATGGAGTCAAGCCTTACGTGAGTTCGGCGCAGGTTCACCTCGTGTATATAAACAACTCTCTTTTTGCTCTAAACTCTTGCCAAGGCCGCCTTTGCGGGTTTCACCTTACGAGCTAGTTTATTAATCAGTTCTCAATTTTCAATGACTCTAAAGCTTTTGCTAGTCGCCCTTGGTTTCGGCCTAGCGAGCCACAGGGATAATTATTCTTCACACTTGTCCATGTTTATCAGTTGAGAACTATGCCATCTAGGTCATCAAACAACACGCTCCGCACAAACAGAATAGACTTTGATGATGTAAGACCAGTCCAATTGGGTCTGAACTGGCCCCAGTCAGTGAATGGGAGCTCGTGTCTTATGAGCACTATCCCCTTCCTTCAAATTCTGACTTAACCTTACTGTTGAAATGCCCTGGCGATTCTTCGTTGATAAACCCTGAATAGCGATACAGGCTTTCAGCCCTTTCTTTCATTAAGCAGCCTGATTCTTCAACTTGCTTTGCTGCCAAATCTGCTCAGCATCTGGGCACTCAGCCAATCCATAATGACAGAACTCAACTTCGATAGGTAGAATACCTCCATCCCATAGACCAAAGAATACGGAGTCGCCCCATAAAGTTTAATGAAGTCCGGACCCCACAGAGCAAATGGCAACAATCTGCAGTCCTGGTAGGTTTCACCATCTTCTTGTAGAATGCTCTGATGTCTTGTTGCGGCCTCAACTGCTCCATTGGTTTGCAGCCGAATACGTAGATGACTTAATGAAAGCCACGTTATACTTCCTCAACAAGTCGATCACCTCCTTCTTGAAGTGGGAAACCATTATCTGAAATGATCTCCTATCGGGATTCCCATAGCGACAAATGAATGTTGTTTTGATTGAACTATAGCAACGTGCGATGCCTTCAATACCAATAAGATTACGGCCTCAACCTACTCTGTAAAGATAGTCATCGCTACCCAAAATGTACTCATGCCATTGGACCCTTGCGAGTGACACTACCAATCAATTAATCCCCCAGACTGAAAAACGCGCCATGCGAAGACTCATGTTGTACAGCTTTGATGGCGAATGCTTCATGCGGTGGCGTGATCTAACATTTTGCACGCCCGAGGATAAGCCACACAATCCCTCCTCCCATGGTGGAACATAATAACCCTATCTAAGGACTTCCGGGCTAGCATTACCCCTTCGTGCACTCCGCACTCTCCTCCATAGATTATGTGTCTGTGTGCGTATAATTTTCCCAAAATTAAATATTTGTGAAAATATAAAAATTAAATAAATAAATAAAAATATATAAAAATATATTGAATTTTTACATTTTTTGTATTTAGTGAATTTTTATAGAATTTTTTTCTCAAATTTTAATTTTTAAAACATATTTAGATTAAATGGATTTTAAAAGAAAAAAATACTTAAAATATTTTTAAATAATTTAGTAAAAACCAAAATAAATAAATAGCTCTAAAACTTACACACACAAAAAAAAATTGTGTTTAAAAACTTAAAGGTAAATTACATATACACTTTTTTGAGATTTTCTTAAATTATGAATTACCCCCTGTGATGCTGGAAATTAAAAATACCCCATTCCCATAATTTTTTATTTAACAAAATTAATAGAAAAAACAAAATCCCTAACTACTCTTCTATGCAACAATAAAATTATCAGAATTATTAATTAAAATATATTTTATGGTATCACTAAAAACTGTTAATTGACTTAATAATTTATTAATAAAAATAGTCATTTATTATGAGATTAAAAATTTAAAAAGAGTGAAATATAATTTCAAGAATCACAAGGGAGAGAATTCATATTTTAAACAAATCTTAAGAAGAGTATTTACAATGAGAAAAAAATATTTATATGTAAAATCTACGGGCACTTATAGGCTGGTCCTGTTGACTAGACTTATTTGTTTATAAGTCCTATTCTATTTTTTACTTATCAATATCTCTAGAATGCCCTTCCTCACCTATTTCATCCTCATTATTCACACTGCCATGACTACACCTTCTCGACCACGGCGACCACCTCAACAATATTTTTGGTAATAATTTTTGACAATTTTTCTGTCATTTTTATGAAAAAATCTCTCTCTTT